CCAGATTTAAAAAACATAGCACAAACAAAAAGGAAAACGACTACAATGCGTATCTCCAGAGAATCTTTACCCCACTTGTTGCTTCATATTAAGAATGAGTAAAGCATTTTAATAAACAAAGAAAAGAATTCATTAAATGAAAAACGGTTTAAGCATTTAACCCATTAAAGAACTCAAGACTTTGAACTTCTTCCCCCCAACAATTCAAAATTTTGAATTGTTTCTAGCCGGACATGGATACGATTGAAGAATCCTTCTTCCTACCTAACTAAATATTACAATATACATAACGTACATAAATACTTACACCTCCATAAAAATACATGAACAGTATATACGAGGTGTATGTATATATGTCTGCAACCACGTAGTCAAGTACGTGTACGCGATAATGTGAAGTACACAGGAGATAAATTGAAGAAAAAAAACAAACCCAGATCAAATTGAAATGAAACATGAAATGATAACAGAAGATTAAGAACTGGAAAGGTTAGTCCATGTCAATTAAAGGTTGCAGCCGCCGTTATCACCGATAAAACAGATAAACCAGTAAAGATACAAAGTTGAGAAATGCATAAACAAAAACAACAAACAAAACCGTGTCGATAAACCGATCAACAAAATCGTTCAAACAAACGAACCCCCAAAATCAAAAACGAAAAACAACCCACAGATTTCCACGACGCCAAACAAAGGCCAAAAATCCAAATCAAAATCGACCAAAACAACGAGATGGAAAACAAAGACACGATCGATAAGCAAGAGGAAGAGATAAAAGAGACGATAACGAGGAACTAACAAGTATGGAGACAGAGAGATATGGTGGTAGCTTCCTTGAAAAGCTTGTTGCAGATAGAACATGTCATGCATGTCTCAAGCTCTTCCCTTTTCACTTTCACCACCTCGTCAGAAGAAGTCGCCATGTCTATCGCTTTCTCCTTCAGTTATCAACACTGCATTGAACTGAAACAACCGATAGACAATCACGAAGAAACCCCCACCCAACTAAGAGATGAAAGAAGTGAGACAAAACCGAAAAGGCTTCGGCTTTTTATACGGGTTGAGCGTTAAAAGGGGGGAGAGGTCCATTTGGATAGAGATCTGAGGAGGAGCGGCAACGTGTTGGCCAAATTAGGAAGATGGGTAGCTGTTTATTGCCGTAAAATTACGTGGGTGTTCTTTCGATTTTTGGCTCCTTTTTCCTTTAACGCAAAATCGAGAGGGACGAACCAAAATCGTGTGGGAGGGTTTTGTTTTTTTGGATTTTTTTCTCTTCTCCCTGTGTTTCAACCGAAGAAATTATAACATGAAGAGACCGAGTGACACAGCCGTTTTTTAATTAATTAATTTATTTATTTATTTATAAATTATTTATTTATTATAAAATATTTATTTATATATTGTATATGTATCAATGTATGTATCTACGTGTTGGTCCAGGAGCTATA